AAAATTACATATTACACCTCCTACATGTAATAAGATTTACAAGGGGAAGGGAGGAGGGGGGGGGGGGCTTCCACAGAAACTATTGTGGTAAACCACAACTAGGAGCAAGCTTTTCTGAGCGAGATGTTGCTGCAGAAGTAGCGCAACTACTTGCTGCTAATCGTTCACGCAAAGGGATAGGTGGGACCCAGCAGACACATGGGTAATTAAAAAGAGCTCCAATAAGAAAAGCTCGCTCCTAGCTGTGTCACACTATAGAAGATGCACTCTATGAATAAATGGAGACAAAGATTCATTGTAAAAGTACTTACTTCTCGGTTCCATGAGATAACCAACAGGGGCTAGATGAATACCATCAACTGTATTATTGTCATGTATGGTTAATCTCAAAACTTCACAAACTGGTAATTTTTGAATATTACTGTATGACATAACAACCAGTTTACAATCCTGAAAAATATTAGACCAATAATTAATTGATTCTTGAGAAGAAAAGAAAAGCTAAGAATTTAACCAATGTACCAGTAAGTGGTCATATCAGGCTCAAAATGTTAAATGCTTCGCAAGCATTCAAAAAATAACAACAAAAGTTAGGAAATAAAAATTACCTCACTGAAATCAACATTATATGAATAGCCAGGCTGAGTCAAGAGCCGTATTTCACCAGGTTGTCTCAAGGAAACAACATACAAATGTTTCTCAAGAGGGTTTTCCCTTAAGCCAAGGAAAAACACAAGATCATTTTCGGAATCCACCCACAGTTGTTGGCCAAGAACTTCCCAATCACCACTAGTTAGAGGGATTTGGCTGCCATTTGATGGAACTTGACCTGATGAAAATAATTAATAATAAGTGAAGGAAATTTATACCATTTAATTAAATACAGTATACTGGTACAGAAAAGATTACCTGTAGTTGCCTCAAAAGCTTCTTCAATTCCATTTGCCACTCCTAATAGTGGGACTGTGTATAAATACAGGTGCCTAAAGCCTGTATCTTCATTTACACAAATAAATTTAACTTCATTTGGCTTTGTTTTGGGGAAAAAGTGCAACAGATTATTCACATTTATCCAAAGGTCTGATTCTTGACTACATAATGTATGAACCAATGGCTTCTTCTTGACATAATTTAAATGGTTAATAGGTGGGGAGTTTGAATTTGACAGGTAAGAGGGTGATTGTGGAGATAGTGTAAAAGAAGCTGGGGATACAGCTGGTGATGACACTTCAACAAAGTACTGAGCAGATATCAGAACTAGTTCAAGATGTTGTTGTTTTCGATCTAGAAGCTGCACCCAAATGCTATATTTAAAAACACAAACAAAAAACAACAACAAAGCATTAGGATAAGTAGTACAAGCTAAAGTAACTCAATTTGTGAAGATAGTGAAGACATTGATTTCTTACAAATCAGACTCAGGTGTCCACCCAACTCTAACGAGATACTCCATCCAAGGAAAGAGGATACTTAATGGAGTTATCATTTCTAATTCTCTAACATCAATAATTTGACAAGTGCTAGAAACTTTGAATTCAAGGAGCTTCAAAGTTGATTTGGCATTAGGGGTTCCGGCTCTTGGAAACCTGGAAAGTAAGTATGAAAATCAACTGATGTTGGCAAAACTAAGGACTAGAACTAGGATATATCTGCAATCAGCATGCAAACCTGAATTCTTCAATATCTCCATTATTGTGCAAATAAGTAGGGAAACCATATATTTTAACTTCACTCTCATCGACTTCTTCATAGGCAATGCGATACACATCATCTTTAAAAGATTAAAAAAAAGAAAGAGGAGGATTTCAGTGATGAATAAATAAACTGTGAGGCAGCGGTAAAAAGTGAATGTAAATAGTACCATTAGTGGTAGGTTGCCACCAAAATCCTTGGTACCGACAAAATTCTTCTTGTATTACATAAGAGGGAATTCCAGCAGACAGTGGATCATCCACGATGCTTCCGGTGTTCTTGTGAGCAAAAGTTAACCGCTGAGTGTCTCCTGCATAAATTTACAATTGATAGTCTTTTTTGTTTTGTTTTTTGTCCTTACATCAAAACTAAGGCGTTACACTGGGAATAAGAACTAATGAACAAAAAAGGATATAGAAATATTTACCTGTCACTGTATGAGCCACATAAATATCTTGATTATTTATGAAAGCAACAAGATCAGAATTTGAGGGACATATTTGTGGATTAAGCTTAGCTCCTATAAGATTTATTCTGATCTCGGTTGGAAATAATCTTCCATTCTGCAAGAAACAATTAACGTCAAACTTAACTAAACACCTTGTCATTATGGATTGAAGTTCACATCAAGAAAGCCAAAATAAAAAAAATATACAAATACTACACCCCTCTTGTTACTTATTAAATTAAAGCTGAAAAACAAAACCAAAAAAAACTCACCGAAAATCCAGTATCCAAACATTGAAAGAGGTTACTAGCTGCAGGAAAAATAAGTTTGCCTGTTGTTGAATGCAATTCATAGCTAGTGATTCCCCATGATGGTGATTGTCTTTTCCTTTCCCACATTAATAATTCCTCTCTAGACGGCTGTTTGAGACCAGATGTTGTGGACGGAAAATTTGATTCAAGTAATTGATTAAGCTGAAGACGACGGGAAGAACTAGAACTGAAATTTAAACCTGTCAGAGTACTGCAACACATTAGACCAGAATTAAACAATCAGTGTTAAAGTTCTACCTTGTACTATCTGATGCACTGACATCAGTAAATAAAAGAGGAACTTCACTTCCATTCATATGATTTGGCAAGAAATATATTCTTGTTCTTCCATTTGGAAGAGATCGAAAGGTTATATTGCTTGGTACCATGGCATACAAGCCAGACAGTTGATGGCGCAGATCCCCAACAGCAACTTTCAATTCTCCCCATGTTTTCTTAGGTACTGACATTTTCAAGTCAAACAGCTGCAAAGTAAATATTCAAAAACGGTCTAAATAAAGTAGATACCTGAACAAAAAGAACACTATACTTGCAGCACAAACAATTAGAATATAATGTAGAGATGCAAATGTTTTTACCTTACTATAATTTAGTGCTTCAGCTTCTCGACAAAAGATACGGTATGATTACCAATCATAATGTCAACATTTACTTTGCACCAGATCAGAAAGTTTTTCCTCGCAGAATTAGAAACAGGTAGGGTTAGGATGATACCTACGCCCTACAGGGCCAAAATAACAGCTGTTCGATGGAGCATTCGAATAGCTCAAAAATAAGAATTGACAAGGCTGAAGAACATGATCTACTGACCTAAGAAATTCATTTGCATTTAGATAAAAATTCCTATAAGTTACTCTGAAAAACTAAAAATAAGACCAAGACGAGAATCACAAATATAAACACGTTATGGCGGGTTTACGATGGAGTTGGTGATTTCGGAACAGAACGAGATTTTAGCGGAACAGAACAAAATTTTCGGGTACGGAACGAAGGGTGTTCATGATGTTTCAGGGACGGAACCGAACGAAAGTGAGTTCCGTATCGCAGGGACGCCTCCTCATTGGCTGACCCTTCGTTCCGTTCCGGAAAACCTCGTTCTGTTCCCGCTCCTTCCCATCAAAATGGGAACCAGTCGTTCTGTTCCGGCCTAAGATTTCGTTCCGTTCCGTCAAAACGGCAACATAAACACGCCCATAAGGAACAA